CCCCAATAAACTATAGTGGGACTGCCACTCTTGCTTGCTTTCGCAGAAACTTGCAGAGTAGTAATAATAGCAGTGATACTAGTAATAGCAGTCATAACAGTAGCAATAGTAAGCATAGTAACAACAGTACCAAAAGCAGGAGTGACAAGACTGCTACGGAAGAGCCATGATCTTCGAGAGCAACTTGGCCCTGGTCACCTTTGGCATGCCACAGCATAAGTAACAATAGTAATAATGATACTAATAGTAATAATAGCAATAATAATAGCAATATAGTAATCACAGTAATCGCAGGCATAGTAATACTAGTAGTAGCAGTGGTAGCAATAATACTAGTAGTACTCATAGCCCCATGATTTCGAGCATGGAAGGGTGGTGAAAATCATGTTCGAGCTGCTGTAGAATGGACAGGCAAACGCAATCAATGATCTATCTGGTATTGCCAACTTGTACTGGCACGATTGCTTTGCCGACAAGCAGGAATGAGTTCATGTAGCATAAGGAACAAAGCCCGAGACGGTTAACCCTGGGTGCCGCGAGAAAAGATCTGCTCCATGTCAGTCAGATCTGTCTTCCTTGGTGCTGTCCGGACTGCTGCGACCAAGGCTCCGGAAATTGGTGAATATGATGGCCACTTGCGTGCGAACACTGCTGTGGTCCTTCATCTTCTGCTTCGCAATCATGTTGCTGGGCTTTGGCGAGTGTAGTCTACCCTGTTGCAAACATACCTTGAGACCTTGATATCACTGCATCTGGAGGTTCTGGTTTTTGGACTTGGGAAATGTGGGGGTGCTGGGGACGTTCAAGTCCTGCTCTTTTGTGCATTGAAGCATGTTTGCTTTGCAGAGTGGTGCGCAGAGCTTTCCTTAACCTTGGCAGCCGAGTGGCTTCCGATATCCCTGGTAGCTTGCTTACGGCAAGGGTTGGCTTTAGGGCTGCATGCAAGTCTCAGGACCTTCTGGTCAATGCTGATCGTTGAGATTGTGCATCCGATGCCCGACGCAAGAGTGGCAAAAACCTGTGAACCTACAGGAAAATTGAGCCAACTGCAGATGGCGTGAGGTTGTCTTGCTAGGCAAGACCATTTGCGTTGTGCATTATGCGTGAACAGACATATCAAGAGGCAGCAACTACGCACCTTTTCCAGCCCCACACCAGCCTAGCCTACTGGGCTGCTGTTGAGGAACTTAAATTGATTTACTATGTTGGGGCAACCACATTAATATATATATATACACACACCCATCGTTGTAACTTAATTTAAATTCTTCCTTATATCCCTATAGTCCCCCAGTTTCCATTTCATTTTCCATTCGATTCTCCATTATAGGGGGATTGTATAGCTTTAAAAAAATTCCTTAACAGCAAATCAGTCTGAGTCTAAGGCATGTCAAAGTGCTGAGCGAACTGGAAAGCTGCGAGCAATGCCAGCGGGCCACTGCATCTGAGCCTCGCTTCCGTTCAGGCTTCGTATACTATAGTAAATAATACTATATCACATTTCAGTATGGTATATTATTGTATACTACGATGTATTGTAGTAGACAGAGTTATGGTGTATTATAGTATGTGATAGTACATCATATTATACTACTTGCCTGCAGCTTGCATTTGTGATATTCGCCCCGGAACTGAGAACCCTTTTTTCTCCAGCAAATACCTCTGACACAGCAAGAGCAAAGAGTCACAGCAGCTCAAGCCTACGGGGCTGAACAGCTACAGACTCCAGTTGTTGCAGAAACAGTGGTGTAAGCTACCTTGCTCTTGATCTTCATATGACTCAAGTATTACCTGCCTTCAGCTTCTTGGGCCCACGTAGTATCAGCTTTATTCGCAAGAGGGCATGCGCATGACCAAACGTATTGTTCATCGAGGTCATGAGTGCAAACCTGCTCCTCTTCAAGTTTCTTGGTAGCAGTGAAGCCGTTAACTACAGGGATATGTATGTTTTTGCATATATATATATGTATGTATGTAGTTGATGTTCAAGCAGGAATGGAAATAAAAATGGATGCTATTCTTTTCACATATCAGCTATGGTTTATCGATCAGTGGTTAGGATCTAGGGTTCAGCCTTGTCGATCTGCGTATTGGCTTGTATGTGAATCGCAGTGAGTTTATGTGACCTTGACAGCCAACCGCCACTCGACACCTCCGGGAATCACGGAGAGACCCCAGCCGCAGCCGTAGATTGCAGGAGCAAAGGTTTCGGTCTCAGCTTGGATTTTTCCAAGAGTCCCGAAGGTATGAGATGAGAGAAAGTCCTAGCCAGCCCACGGCTTCATCTGAGTTCACCAAGCGCCAAGCCAGCGAGCAACTGAACACTGAAGAACAGCTCCCACCTCGATGTCAAGCTTAGGACCGTGATCGCAGGGGATAGCTGGGGCCAGATTGCAGTGCCCGTGATCGAGGCACAGCAGATGGTTCAGCTTAGCATCCAAATTTCAAGTGTCTCCGGCATGTATGGATTGCAAAGCTGAGTGCTGGTGCATGAGCCAGGTAGTTCGGGGCTTAGCATCTTGGGTCCGGCTACGCATGTGGGTCTTATGGCATAATTTCCGCGGGCGATCAAGCAGCAAGGCCTACCCTGGAACTGCCTTGATCTTCATGGGATCCCTGCTGACCCTGGTTTTCGGTGCTGGGCTCTCAGTACGCATGCGGATTGTCCCTGAACGCCCTGGAGTCAAAACAGTCATGGCAGCGACTGAAGGCGGTAGTGTAAGAATGTAAGTCATAATTAAAGTTCCACAGCAGAATTCATAGACACGACGGTGCTTGAAGGTCATAATTAGTTGCAAGGCAACTTGTCTCACCCATAGTGAAGTGTGGCTTGCCGTATGCACGCTTACAACCTTTTCGCTCAGGTCCTGAATTTGTGCCTTGGCAGCAACCTGAGCTGTGTCCTCACGGGCTATTGGACTGCATTTGTAGCATAAGATCTGGATGTAAAGTTAAAGCAGGCTCATAGAAGAAAAAAAACAAAGAAAGCTCGACGTTCCTCGCTGTAATTGGCTCTGCTGCTGGGCCTGGAGCCCTGGTTTAGCTAGATTCTGTCCGCTGCTGACTCTTAGCATTTTTTGCGATTCGCACTTGTTTCGTATCAAACGGCATGACGAGTAGACGTCCCCAGTCCAGAAAGTGAATCTGAGCCCGGCGGCGTCAGGAGTGGAAGTTCAAGCGTTCTGGCCTGGTCAGCTTAATGCCCTCCCCGAATATTAAACCCACCCCCCACCCCCTCCTAATATAAAAACTCCTAATATATTATCATCTGTCATATAGTGGGCTTAATATTGGGGGAGGAATTAATTCTGCGGTGGATCATGCAAGTCTTCTGATGCACGGCTAGGGGTACTTCTGGTGCGCTATCAGCCTTTGAACACGGGTTCCAAAACCGCCGCCGCTGCTAACATTGGAGTGAATCCAGCCGCAAGGATCGTGGCCGTAGTGGTTGACACGTTTGCAGAAGCACGGGAGCGGGACGTCTTGAGTTTGGCAGAGGCGGGTGATGCTGTAATGGCTCAGGGTCTAGAGAGGAGTCAAGCGGTTGCAACCTGTGTTCTCCAGGGTCATGCCAAGAAAGTCAACCGAGGCACTGGCTAATTAATTGAAAGTCGTGGCAGTAGTTGATCATGCCACCAGCTTGGCTCTGTGGATTCTTCTTAACTGGTGGCATGTGGATTCCACGGTATATAGACTTGGCAAGGTTCGGCGCCTCCAACTCACGGACAAGCTTGAGCAGAAAGAAACACAGACCACATGAACAAGTTGGGAAGTGATGGACCTGTTCCCCACTGTGTTTGGGCTTCCTGGCTCCTCAAGCCAGTGTCCAAGGGCATGTGCGTTGCAATGGCAGCCATGAATTTGTAATCTATTGGTCGGGATCCGGGCCCCACCGGGAGCACGGTAAGGCCACAAAAAACCTGTGACTGAAATTGCCCCAAAATGCGCTGACCTAACCAGGAGTTGGAGAACGAGATTGCAATCGACAAGAGGCTCCTTCAGATTCTTGGCACATGATCGAGAGATTGCAAAAGCTCCTAGGCGGCCGATGACATGGGCAAGGAGTCTGATCAAATTCAACTTCGATTTGGTGGCCTTTATTCAAATTCCGATTCCTATCCTTCTGCCCATTTATAATCCTCTTCTCGCTTTGCTACCTACCACGGATATTCAGCAGCCGTCCCAGCTTATGGACGATGTGATGGAGCAAGGTAAGGATGTGTCGACTGAAAGAAGCGGGGAACAACTCATGCTCTGCTCAGGCCTCCTATGATTTCTTCAACCTGAATGTGGGTATGCTCCCCCCACCCTTCAGGTGCACAGAATGGCGCAAGACTTCAAATTTCTCTACTTGGTAGTTTCCGTGAATTGTGAAGACCTCAATACAGGCCCGAATATACTATAGCCCTTATACAGGGGATCCCCCCAGACGGTACCCCTAATTTTAGGAAACCCCAATCGTCATTATTGGAAGCATCACAAGGGTGAGGTTATGGAGAGCTCAGCACGGAAAGGGCAGGGATTGCTCGCAACAGAGTGGCGCTGAGTATCGCTGCCCAATATTCTTGCCTTTCAACACTGAAGCTTAAGGAAGATCTTTGAGCGAATCAACAAGGATGGCAGTCCCTGGGTCAGATCTTGCGGCTGCATGCATCATCAAGCAGTTTTTAAGCATACATGGAAGAATGTTTCCACGTGTTTTGCCGGGTTGTAGGCCTGCAATATCCTGCCTTCATGCGTTCCTGGCTTGATTCTGGCTTGTCCCGCTGCACATGTCTGGCACCTTGAGAGCAAGATCTTTCCCAAAATTCTTGAGCATAGTCTTGTGCAGGCCTTGACAATGCAAGTACCAATGCCCAGCCATACAGTAGTTTCCATGTACCGTGGAGTCAACGGAGCCACAGCGAAGACCATGTTCTGGAGGCAAAAATGGAGTTGGCCCTGTTTTCAGAGGTTCCAAAGCGTAAGCCCTGGCACCAAGCTTGCGACTGCTGTGTAAGGTGGTGAGCTAACTCTGGACGAGCTAATCGCTGGTGCTGAGCAAGAAGCTCGGCTGCAATCACAGACTTTCCGCATCGTTGAGGCTTGTAAGCCGTAGGCAGTTTTGAAGCACGGGCCACCCTTGCCATTCCTAATATTTCTAGCATTATAGGGCTCTGAAAAGGGATCCATCTTGTCAAGAGATCCTCAGACAGCGTTGCCTGCAGGGCTGCGGGGCTTCACATCCGCTGTTTCACATGCACAGACCTAGTTGGCGATCTTTATTTGTTCAAAGCAGTATTGGTTTTGGCCTGGGGCTGTCTCTCATTGTCTAGTTTTGGGCAACTAGTCATTTGGCGGGTGGTCTTTTGACCTGTCTCGTAGGTAATGTTTTAGAATATTTTCCCCGCCTATTCTAGGCAGGATCCTTGCATATCGGCCTGCAATTAGAGACCCAATCTCGCAGAAGCACTGGTTTTGCTGACTGTCGGAGGTCACCTTTGTCTATAAAAGGCCTAAACGCAATGCACATGCTACAAAGACAAGCGATTCACGAGCTCGACTTCGCTTGCTTTGCATTCTCGCCGTCAGCTAAAAATGTGCTCAGATTGAGCTGCGGGCCTTTCTGTTGTAAGGTCAGTAGTCATAGTAATAGTAGTAGTCGCGGTCAGTAGTCGTAGTGGTCGTCGTAGTAGTCATTGTAGTAGTAGTCGCAGTAGTCGTCGTAGTAGTACTAGTAGCAGTAGTTGTAGTAGTAGCAGTAGCAGTAGTCATCGTCGTCGTGTACTTGTAGTAGTAGGAGGAGGCACACGGTCCGCGTCTGGCCGTGGTGCAAACCCTAGCTTGTTTGTTGTATTTTTTGCGCTTTAAACTTGCATTTTTGCTAGCAAACACGTGTATTGGCCTAGCGTGGTCAAAAACACTGATTTTGAAAATCGTCGAATTGTAGTTTCGGATCCTTTGACGCGCATGCGCGCGATGTTGCATGAAATTTTCGTGAAATGTGCAAAAACGGCCTTTCCGAGCTTTTGCCTTTTTTGGTGCTTTCCGTTCTGCCTTTCTCGTCATTTATTGCTTAGTGCCTTAAAACGTGCTCAAAACCATGTTCAGGTAATTGTTCTGAGCTAGATGCCCCCGGTGGTGGGCCCAGATAAAACAACTGGCCTCTTACATGCAACTGCATCACTGCGCATGCTGCACAACCCGCTGCTCGCCTCTGAGCGTGTTAGGTACCTAGTGTGCCTCTTTGGGCCATGCTTTGAGAGCTGTACATTACACTGTACATACCTGACCGACATTCGGAAGCATAAAAGCATAGGAGTTTCAACTGGCCTATTCGTAGCAGAACTCCCTCATTTGTGGTTTCATCCGCTCACTCAAGCGCCGGCACATTAATTGCGCCACCAGGCTGTACACAGGCTGACTGACTGGTTATGGAATGGAATGGAGGAGGAGGACAAGGAAAAAGGAGAAGCAGTAGCGGTCAGTAGCGTTAATGGTACTGTTAGTAGGAATACTGGTAGTAGTAAGAGTAATAAAATAGTACACAATAGTACTAGTCATCGTAATAGGTGTTTACCCTCTGAAGAAACCAGGACACAGAATTCCAGAGTCGACTCAGGGTCATGGACATTGACGAGGCCCTGGGCGGGGTTGTTCTGAATAGAGTTCAGGGTTGTTGAAAATGCTTGGCCTTTTTGGCGGTCCTCTAAAAATGTGGCGATTTTCTGAAATCGCCCCTCTTCTAGTTCAGAAAACGCCATATATGATCCTTACGTCATGGATCACATGACTATCAGGGGGGAAATAGGTGCTGTGCTTTTTGCGCACAATTACCCGTGTATAGCGGTTGGTTCTGCCAGGAATACGTGAAGATGAGTTCTGTGGCATGGATGAAGAGGTGTCATGCATTGCGCGCTGGTCCAAAAAGCCATGTCTCAACCTCTACCTCTAAGCTCATTCTGCCACAGTTCCCCAACCAGCTCAAGACATTCAGCCTCTGCAGCAAGCTTCTGGGTGGATGGAGAGGTTGACTTGGAGCAGCTATTCGAGATGATCGATGCTGACGGCTTCCTAGCATGTTATGGCACAAGGAGCAAAACCAACACTTGCCACTCTTCTTCCGCTACCATGGAGCATTGGAGGTAGAAGAGCGTTAGGTATTGCTGGGAAGGGGCTCCACCGGCGTCGTTTTTCACTTGGAGTTCTTTCGCTTCTGCCTGGTAGTCAAAGGACAACAATAGTCGTTTCGCAGATTTACGCCCAATTGGGCAAGAATGCTGACCCGACCATGTTACGGCAAGCGTAGGAAACGTTTGATTCGGAGTTCAACTCTCACAGCTTGGACAAGCTTCCCCTAATTCTTAAAAGAGGGATGGATGCAAGCTAGCGAAGGGTGACCAGGAAGTGTCCAACCCTGAGAGGGCATTGCTGTCTTCGTCGGACTGACCACTATTTGGATTCCACACAGTCCAAGTTCAGTGTACTCGAATTACCAGGCAGCCAAGTCAGATGTGCTAAGAAAGAAACAAGAAACATGCTTCTCTGGCTTGATGAAGCCCTGAGCAAGGCCCATCAGGGCCTAAAACTGAACCCACCTGCAGAGGTTCGGGGTCCGTAGAAGCCTCCGAGTTTATCGGGCCGCTCAGCCGCTGGGTCCATGACTCCAAGCTGCTTGCCTTCATGGTCAGCTTGGCTGTTAGGATCTGGGGAACGGGCTTTCAGGCAAGGTTGCCAGCTGCATGAGGGTTTCAGACCGGTTCGTTCCAGGTTGAAGGTTCTTCGGTCAGATGCGTGATCCGAGCGATTCTCGTCTTGCAACGGCGTCGACTAGGGTTTAGGGTAGGGTTTAGGGTAGGGAAGCTCATTGTCACTCGTTTCGAAAATTCCACTTGCGTCCAGGCGTTCTTCGCACACCTCCTATTTCCCAGCTGCACCTCGAGCTTGGAAACTGCATTCTATTCCAAGCCTAGGGCCTTTCACACTTTTCTGGCGTGGCATTTGGTGGGAAGGCTTCCTGCTGCCCAGGGGCTTTCTAAGGACAGCCCCCCGCTTCGTGAAGTACAACATGCTGCGGACCATGCAGAAGCAAGAAGAGTGTCTGGCTTTGCATTATGGGTCACTCTTGCATCTGGTGATTCTAGTCCTTAGGTATTACTAGCCTCAACACAGGAATCTAAATACATAGGGGAGAACATCTGATCTCCGCGTGCCAACCTGCTTTCCAAAGTCAGGCTGTCTTTTGACATGCCAGGGCTACAAAAACTTACCGATGTCCTCACTAGTTCCTGCTACAGCTGTCACTGCATTTGGTGAAGGTTTTGCTGAGGATGTCCAAGCCTGAAAAGCAGTGGTGGCCTTGCACAAGAACTGAAGCGTTCAGCCCGAGAGTGAGTCACACAAGCTTTCAGACCATAGAGCTCTCAAATGATTCAGCTGTTACAGCAAGCCTGTAACCTGAAAGTTAAGAGAAGCCGTTGCACTTTGAGGGTTGGCTTTTGAGATATCAAGTCTTCTTTTATTTTCTATAATGAGCATTTGTGCTATCGAATCAAGCGGCCATCTCGAAGGCTCATGCAAGCGTTCGAGCTACGCTTTGCACCTTGGAAGCCATAAAGAGAAGTGTTGCGCGAAGTGTAGCGGTCAAGTTTAGTGGCAGGCGTCACACTGTTTCTTAAAAGCCTGGCGTTCTGGGTGGCAATCTGAGCTGAAAGTGGAGGATGTTGCAGATGTTGCAATGCAGGCATGAGGCTGGCCTCAGGGCTGTTGGCTTGGAAAGGTGTTGGGTTAGCTGAATGGTTAGGATGTTGCAAGTTGCGCAGATCTGTTTCTACGGCCATAATGAAGTACTTCCAGGTCAGCGTCTTCTCCGCAGAGGGGTTCATAAGCTTTGCCTTTTTGAGGAGCGGCGACCCTGACACCGTGGCATCAAACGGCAGCTCACACATCGGCGACTAGGGTATTTACAGGAAGTTATCCCACTGTTCACACTTCACCAAGAAAGGAAATACATGAAAGGCAGTCCCAAACTCACCTTGCTTAACACTTTGGAGTTTTTATGCATGAGCCGGTTCGTAACAGAAGCAGAGAGTCCTGAATGTGCTCCAGTGACTGATTTGATTGACCGCTGCATTCGCTTGAGGATAACCTGGCGGAAAAGCTTGAGTTGCGCCCTGTCAAAAGATTGGCGACCCCATCATGGAATCGCGCGTGGCATCTGCGAAGACGTGTCTTTTGCATTCGCTTAGGGGTTTTAAGGACGTTATGAATGAGGGGTTATGTACTTGCATTGAAACCCGAGCTTAAACATGCGCGTCTCGCAGAATTTTTGAAAGCAGCACGGCAGGTGTCGAGGTCAGCTGTCTTGAAACCAAGCGTTGCTGAAGGTTCTGGAAGAGAGCCCATAGCTGGACTGCTTATGTAAAACCATGGGCGCTCACCCTTGAGTGCCTTCAACGATCTGTTGCTTGACTTCTGCAGCTCCTCCTTTCGAATGACGTCTCACAATTCGGGTCCCCTACTTGCGCATTTGAACCTTAGAGACTGGCAAGCCCCGATCACAAAATTCCTACACTTCAGTCACGAATAAAACTTGAAGTGAGCTACAGCTGAGGATGTCTTCGACCCTCAGAGACTCCGCTTGCCAGAGGCCTGGCCCGAAGTGTGCTCATTGCCTGTACTACAGTATCATGGACATGCACATCGCAAACACGACATATGATGACCGACAGGTCTTCCGATACCAAGAGCTGCTGGGACGCGACTTGGCCGTCAGGCCTCCGCGGGCCCTTTACCCTGCTTTTTTTTCGCGCTGTTAGGCACAAGCTTCTGGCCAGCTGTTCAACTCCCAGTGCCAGTGCATGATCTTTGTGCTGGGGACGCATCTTCTGCTCGACCTGTCACCCGAAGGGCCGGTCAAACTTCCGCTGGGAAGTCAAACGCGGTTTGAATCTTACTCATACCACACTCCGGACAGCGAAAGCCCACCAAGAAGTAGATACGGCTAAAACTCTGCTAATCCGCAATGCGTGATGTATTGATCTCTTGAACGATTCGAGCCGTCTGTGCATTTTGTGCTCGTGCCCACCCGTTTCATCTATATTGCATGGTTTTTTCGCCGTGCTACCTTATGCCGTCATGGGGCTTGCACAGCATCCGTACTTGCACAGGCACCACCACTACCGGGAGCAGAAGCAGACTTCACAGCTTCGAGTTGTCAGGATCCCTCAAGGCCAGCATCGCTTGTAGCGAGCGCTTGTATCTCAACGTAGATTTCAGAGTAACCAGATAGCCAGTCAACTTTTCAACAAGGATCATGATTCAGCCGTTCTCAAACCTGCATTCAGGACTGTACAGGACGTATGCGCATGTTTTTTTTCTTTGGGGCGTACGTTGACATTCTTGCTTGCAGCACTTCCAGCCGACTTTGGTCTCTTGAAGACCCTGGCAGGAAAGAGCCTCTCTTGCTGCGGCAGGCGGCTCTGGAGGCTTGTCCATCCTGGCTGCAGTGCCTCAACTGGAAAGTCTTGTTCTGGAAGCGCTGCACTCATCTGTCAGGCAGCCTGCAAGCACTGCCTTCTTTCGCCGCTGCGAAGACGGCCGGTGGGATTGAAAATCACATTTTGGGCTGGCCCAGCAGGAATGCAACCGCCAAAGTGGGTGTGTGTGTGTGTAGGCATCGGCATTTTCCTACTGATGCGGCCGTTCGCTGTTGCAACTACTCTCATTGCACGAATCGGCAAAAGCCGCGCTGGGATTCAATCGATTTGGACCTGGGAGGTAAGCTCAGAGACCATCTTTACTACCGTGGCCTTGTCACACAGCCCGTTAGACCGCTTGAAGGTCCTCACAGTAGGACAATCTGGTTCAGGTGCTTGAGCAGTCGGTGACGGACATAGCTGAGCACGCCGAAGCAACCTTGCCACCCTTCTGCGATTGTGATGGCTTCAGGGAAAGTACTGATATGATATAAGATCAACGGTTGTAGCATGAACTTATCCGGAGTTAGTCGCCAGTGTTCCTTGGGAGTGGCTGTAGAGTAGCTGGTGGACCTATGCTTCGCAAAAGATCTGAGAAACGTGCTGGCATGAATGCAATGCGGGGCTCCAAAAGAATGATTTCGAAATGGTTGTCGGCTTCACACTTTCATCCATGCAAAAAGTTGTTCAGCGCCTCTGAAGTTGTTTAGCTGCACTTTCATTGTTCTGTTTCACGCTCCTAAACAGATTTAGTAGTCGTCAGCGGATGCATGTCCTGAATCCCTGCGCAGCACGCACGACCACCAAAGCGCTCGCAGCCGTAACCACCTTCTCACTTTTTCGCTCGTAGTACTGGCCCCTTCTTCTAATCCACTTCCTACTCCTCATGCTGACCTCGTGCACAGCCCTGCGCCGTGTAGGAGACGCTCCATGAGATTGCTGGAGGCGCTGCCGGAGCAGATGGGGCTCTCAGGCCTGGAAGCCTCGGATGGTATGGGGCAAGACCTTTGCAGGCTATACGACTCAATAGTCCTGTCAAAAACAAAGCAAAATGACCTTAATGCAATTGTTTGGTGCTCACTGTGCTCTACGTTCTGCAGGTGATTCCTGGCCTAGCTTGTTCGGCTTGGCATGGTGTGCGACAATTGGTTGGAGCTTCAAAGCCAGTGTTCTGCGTCGCTTCGAAACTGGAACATTCCGCACTTTGGTTCTGCCATTGTACAGTTTGCAATGCCATGCTGACGTCCACTGGATTTGGCCTTTTTTGTTCTTCGCTGGTACTCAGGTTCATGGGTTTCCGCTGAAGTCATGTGATAAAATTCACATCCATATAATGATGTCAAGTTCGGGTGACTGGCCAACGGTGTTGATGAGTTCATGGAGCGTGTGTTTCGTGTATGTTGGGAGCCTTGTCTCTGCTCCACGGAGGGCTCTGCCATGCATATTGCATATTGCAAGCAATGCACCGTGCAGGAATGGTGTGGAATATGTTTCAGTCCTATATGCAATTGTGCCGTGGTAACCCCAGAAAGCAGCAACCCTTCTAGCAATGGTATGAGGCACATCGGTGCCAAGACGTTCAGCCAAAGCATGGCCTTCCAACAGCTTCTTCAAAGCCACCACTGCAAGAACCTGAACAGATCTTCTCCCTTCGACTGTGGCCGCCTGGCATTCCTTGTGCGTATGTTTCTCAGATTGATACTTGTTCACCGGGGCCCCTGTTCGGTTGGATATTCTTGATCACAGCGTGTGCATGTGCAGGTTCTGATCTCCTTCAGACGGCTGGGCCGGTTGCGGACAAGGCTGGGAGGTTTGAGTCTTTGATGGGTTTTACCCTTCAACCTTTAGGCTTGTCCCGCCGGGATCTGACCTTTGCTTGACTTGGGAAGCGTTTGGACTTTTTCCGGAAGTTGAACTGAGCCTCTCTTCTTGAGGTAAAGGCATCCACCCTCCCGCGGATCTTTGGCATTTTGCATAGCGGAACATAGGGTAGGGTGTGGTAGAGGTACATCGTGCCCCACTTCTGTCTTTGCTGCAGCTGCTATCAAGCCAGGAAGGTTGGCAACTGGTCAGGTCTGCATGTACATCATATGTATATATATATATTCATACACATACATGATGATACATGTATATCAAAAGTTTGTGCCGCCTCCTTCGTTACAGAATTGGCCCTCATTCTGGGACACCCG